GAGAAACAAGTGATAATCGGAGGGTGCTAGGTCTGGGAAGTATGGTGGATGCGACAGAATTTCCCAGCCTAGCTCTGCGATTTTCTGACGAGTCGCCAAAGCAGCGTGTGGCCTAGCATTATCATCGGTAGTCATGTTTTCACGATCGCGTCTTACTTAACCCTAGAAAGATAACCATATGACAACGTACGTAAAAGATAACCATACGCTTCAGAGGCGCATGCTTTTCTAAGGCGTCAATTTTATACTAACAATGGATATTTATTTAAGTTAATCTAGTCATTTTAAAGGTTTGGCATTATTGTAAAAATAAAATGCATTTATATTATATTTTTTTATATTTTAAGTAATTTTAAACTTAAATCACTAGACCTCTATGAAAAATTAACAAAAATCAACAGTCTTCGCAGGCGCCTCTGCGACGTAGGTTATCTTTCTCGGGTTAATAATAACACGAGACATCTTTGTTTCAGTTTATTTAGGAGAGTACATGTGTGCAAATGCAATGATAAAGAGAGATAGTCATATATGTCTGAAATCAACATGTGCATATGGATTGAAACTTGAAGTGACACTATCGGACAGAACTTTCCGGTAGACCTAATACAACGGAGAACAAAGAATCCACCGCGAAACAGTTAGGAAACGAGAAATACGTACCCGTGCTCTTCGCGTGGAAGAAATGCGAGACATGTGACCACTTTGAGACTGAAATGACAGAGTTGAAAGAGAATCTAGTTAGCAGGCAGTCTACTCGAAAGAACTGTTATACCATTTGAGGAGCCTGGTCTCATCTTCTTCGGATATGGAATACCCTCGGTTCAAGATGAGATTCTACATTTTCCGAATGATTATAAACCATAAATTACGAAGCAACAGTTTCGCTACTTTCTAAACATATCGTGGACTCCTATAACGCGCGTGCAGTAGAAAACGGTCGGCTCAGAAAAATTGTATTCCCGGTTAGGGAGGAGCCGGTTCTCATCTCTTTCGTATCCTTGGTCGAAGATGACGAGGGTCCTGCATTCTGAATGATTATAAACTATATAAATTACAAAGCAGCAGTTTCGTTGCTTTCTAGACGCTGCTCGTAGACGCGGCCGGTTCGCCAGTTTTCCTCTTCCTTTTTCTTTCCGTCCCACGTTCCTGCCGGCACTGACGTCGGCTCGGCTCTGCTCCGCTCAGCTCGACCATCTTCTTCTTCTTCTTCTTCCTCCTTCTCCTCCTCCTCTTCTTTCTCCCGCTTGTTCCTCCCCGTGCTTCTGTAACGGTGACGCGGGCTTTCCGTTACACGAACCACCGAGGCTGTTCCAGCCTTTTCCCTTCCTCGACGGGCTCCCCGGGTCCGCGTCCTCCGTGTTCCACGTCCGTCGTTGCATTATGGATGCAACGGGCTGCTGGACGAATGAAAGAACCCATGGCCGAACGTGTTCCCTCGGTCTCCGCCCGTGGAACCCCGCCGCCTTTCTTCCACCACCTCTTCTTCTTCTTCTTCTAGTCCCGCGATCATCCTCCTCCCGGTTGTCCCCTGAACGCCTTGCCCACCTCGTCTCTCTCGCGCGTCGTTTCTCGCTCCGATCCTCTTCCCCTCTATTTGGGCTAGGTTCTCTCGCCGGTTTTTCGTCCGAAGCTTTTTCCTCTTCCTCCGCGTCCACGCGTGACCGTTTCCATCCACGGTGCCGTTACATACACGCACGCCGAGCCGGGTTTTTTGGTTGTTAGCAGGAAGGAAGGCTTTGTGTTCGAGCCTGATCTCGTCGGCTGCTCGGTTTGGATCGCGCCGGGAATTGCGTGGCGACGGGACGTGAACAGGACTGTTTATGGGGAACCGCGAACCCTCCCCGTTCTGTCCTCGTCTCGGCCTTTTTTCGACTTTGTCTGAACACCGGGGGGAACGGATGGGGGTAATTAGCGATGGAATGGCGAGGCGGAAACGGTTGCCGGGTATCTTGACCGGGCTCTCGGTTGCTTTTTGAACGGCGGCGCGCTGATTTCGAGGGTTGTTTTTATTCCCCGGATGGTTTTCTTTTCGATCCGTGTACACGGCTGAAAATGATCGGGTTGGCCCGTAAGTCGATCCGACAGCATCCGTTGTTCCGTCATTTGATAGCTTCTTCTGGTTTCTTGTTCCACGAAATCGTGCTCCTTTTTGCGCGATTTAATAGAGTAATTCATTCGCGAATGCACGATTTCGAGGTGATTGAAAACGAGCATCTCCGACATCTTTTACTTTTAGCTTAACCCCTTAATGCACAATTTAAAAAAAAAAAACCGACCAAAACAAATCAATTTTTTTTATCAAAGAAAATACATATTTGGACCTTAATTTCAATAAATATTTTAAAAAAATGCAAAAATTACTAAAAATTCAATAAAAATAGTGGATAAATAATTATAGTGAATATTGAATCGCATTGCAGATCGAATTTTGTACCCATCGTACTGTTTTTCATATATTCGAATCTGAACATTTTAGCGACATAAGTTGCGACGCCGACCGTATATATACGGGTCTGCACATTTTGGCCGGTTTTGCACGTCCGTGTTAATACGTTTCTGCGCGTTAAGGGGTTAAATAAACTATGTAGTAGTTTCTGTATGCTTCGAGTCATTCGATTGTGTACAAACATTGAATACAATTTATTCTATTCTTTATCGTCTCATTGCTGTGCCCTTGCGACCAGTATATAAAAGATAGAAATATATTATCGAACATCGACGAACACGGAAGAGGCAGTAGTAGAAGTTCAATTCGTTGCTGTCGAAGGTATAACTTTATTTTGGGAGAGTCAATTTACGGAACGAAAGCATTTTTAGATTACACAAAATACAATGGATAGTTCTTCGAAACTGTTTTATAGGAAATGAAAGAAGTGAAATAAAATATGATTGTTCGCGACGATTACGAATAATAACGCGATGCGCAGAACGCGATGCTTTCGACTTAGCAAAACAAGATGAGATACGTCGACACGCTTTATTGGAGATTTTATGCGATCATGGCATCCGTATTTTAATCCAGAAAAACGCTGAATATAAAATTCATTGCGATTTTTCTTTGACTTCGAACTCGGTAAAGGTGTTTAATAGGAAAAATTAATTTCTATTTAATTCTAGTCTGCAAAAATCGAACAGCAAAATTCCAGTTTGCATAACGATTGGCAGTCTAGTTAGTATGGAACATAGTTAGCATGAAATTTTCATTGCGATTTTTCTTTAACTTCGAACTCGGTAGAGGTACTTCATAGGAAATATTAATTTCTATTTAATTCTAGTCTGCAAAAATCGAACAGCAAAATTCCAGTTTGCATAACGATTGGCAGTCTAGTTAGTATGGAACATAGTTAGCATGAAATTTTCATTGCGATTTTTCTTTAACTTCGAACTCGGTAGGGGTATTTAATAGGAAATATTAATTTCTATTTAATTCTAATCTGCAAAAATCGAACAGTAAAAATTCCATTTTGCATAACGATTCGCAGTCTAGTTAGTATGGAACTCAGTTAGCATGAAATTTTCATTGCGATTTTTCTTTGACTTCGAACTCGGTAAGGGTATTTAATAGGAAAAATTAATTTCTATTTAATCCTAGTCTACAAAAATCGAAGGATAAAAGTTCGAGTTTGCATAACGATTCGCAGTCTAGTTAGTATGGAACATAGTTAGCATGAAATTTTCATTGCGATTTTTCTTTGACTTCGAACTCGGTAAGGGTATTTAATAGGAAAAATTAATTTCTATTTAATCCTAGTCTACAAAAATCGAAGGATAAAAATTCGAGTTTGCATAACGATTCGCAGTCTAGTTAGTATGGAACATAGTTAGCATGAAATTTTCATTGCGATTTTTCTTTGACTTCGAACTCGGTAAGGGTATTTAATAGGAAAAATTAATTTCTATTTAATCCTAGTCTACAAAAATCGAAGGATAAAAGTTCGAGTTTGCATAACGATTCGCAGTCTAGTTAGTATGGAACATAGTTAGCATGAAATTTTCATTGCGATTTTTCTTTGACTTCGAACTCGGTAAGGGTATTTAATAGGAAAAATTAATTTCTATTTAATCCTAGTCTACAAAAATCGAAGGATAAAAATTCGAGTTTGCATAACGATTCGCAGTCTAGTTAGTATGGAACATAGTTAGCATGAAATTTTCATTGCGATTTTTCTTTGACTTCGAACTCGGTAAGAGTATTTAATAGGAAAAATTAATTTCTATTTAATTCTAGTCTGCAAAAATCGAACGGCAAAAATACCAGTTTGCATAACGATTCGCAGTCTAGTTAGTATGGAACTCTAATTGAGGCGACTTACGAGCGGAAGACGAAGACGCGCGTTGTTTTAAGAGCTCATTGTCCGATGTACCTTTACGGACTCGTTGCTTCGGGGAGGAAGCAGAAGGTAGTTTTAGCGCAACGTTTACCTGGTTCTGCGGATGACGATCACGTTACATAACGCTACCGCCTGTTTTGTTTTCCAGAACAACACTACGCGGCCGCCGATTCGAACAGTTCGACGCCCGCGAAGAGTTTCGTGGCCTGTAGAGTTTGCGGCGACAAGGCGAGCGGTTACCATTACGGCGTGACCAGTTGCGAGGGTTGCAAAGTAAGTATCAAACTTAAGGGAATGTGTAAGGGTAACGGAGGGACGGTTAAACGATTCTTAACTGGGTCTGTTCTCATTTTGATGGCAACTCCAAGGTCGCGAAAACAAAGAAATGTTCATGCTGCCGGTGCCATATTGTGCACGTAATATTATACTTAATTTTGCCAATACGTATTCGATCAGCGAAATAATTGTTCTGGCTCGTGAACGACTCAGGTTGCAAAGTAAATTAATAATAAAATAAATTTCAGCTTAAACGTTTGCCGATGTTGTTTCATAAAATACAACATACAAAAATACAATTTACCGTTGTTACAACTGCAGGCGTGCCTTATGCGATGTACATTGCATGTTATTTTTAAATTTTTGTATGCGATAAAAGCAATTAATATTAATAAATGTGACAATTTTATTCGAATTTTAATACAATTTTATTAATATTTTATTACAATTTTATTAGAATTTTATTACAATTTTATTAGTTTTATCACAATTTTATCACAATTTTATTACTCTTTCATTACAATTTTACTGCAATTTTATTACAATTTCATTAGCATTTTATTGCAATTTTATTGCAATTTCACAATGAGAAATATTTTTCTTATAAATATTTCATTTACGTACAACGTAAACCTCTCTTTTAATCGTCGAAAGAGTTGTTACGTTATTGTTTAAATATCATAGCCGGTAGAGCATAAATGCATACGTTCGTTTACCGATTAATCATACAAGGTGAAACCAGGCTAAAAATAACATTCTTTTACTTCATGTCACGTTTTCGAGTTTACGTTTACATAACTTCTTGTATGTCAGTACTAGGATTTTTCCAAAGAAGGTGTCAAACAAAAAAATGTTATTCCTATTATTTGAATTACCTTCGTATTTATTTTATACGTAAATTTTGCTCTGTTCAGACACGAATTAGCAATGAAAATTATTGGCTGATGTTCTATATAAACGAACAAAAGGATATTAAAACTTTTTGGAATTATAATGCGGATGAGAATTACGTACAATGTTTAGTACATTTTTCAATAATGAAAGAAAGTATATCTAAACGAGTTTGTAATTAAAATCTAATTATTTTATTTAACCTTTCATGAAATAACGGGACAGTTACTAAAACGACCAACATTTTATTCGACTCTCACTTTTGCAAACTAGTCCTCAAAAAATGATCGATATACAAAGTTTAAAACGTCGCTTATTTTGAAAATTAATCGGCGAATCGTTTTCTGAAATTTCTCTTAATATTTATAAAGCTTTCAGTTAAAAGCAATTTTGATTGAACTCGTAGATCGAATTCTTTTCCTTAAATTTACAAATTTATATATTACTATCTACAAGTTTCATACATACTGTGTAAACGAACTACGTCCATATAAGAAATCATTATAGTTAAACGAGAAAGAGTATATCAACGAATCAGAGATCGATACAAAGTTCAACAAAGTCTTTCGTGTAACATGTAAAAGCGACTGACCAACGTTAATCCCCGAGTCCTGCGTTATGCACGGTTCAAACGTAAACGTCCTAGCGATTAAATAACATTAATTTGGAGACGTCGTCCCCTGTTGGACGAGATAAGGAACTTTGCTGCTCGGACTCTGAGAACAATTTATTTAGTACGATCTCGAAAATCCTCGACTAAAAAGGAGAGGTTGGGTAGTTTAAGAGTCGGCGGAATTAATTTACGATCTTCATCTTTATGCATCTTGTTTAATAGTGCACTAACGTTTCCCCTGCAGTCACGAAGTTGGAAAACTGATTATACGAACTTAGCTATGAAATCGTGAGTAGATACATGTCCGCGCAGCGACGCAACGAGAAAGAGATATTCGAACGGAACTTTCTATGCCGCGAAGCATAATTATAAATCGTAAACTTTTCTTTATCACGAACTGTTTCTCTAACAAGATCGCCTTCGACGCATCCCTTCCTCCGAGAAAGTTGCGGCGCTGTTATAAAAACAATTTTTCTCTTTCATTGGACTCCCCCCGCGTTGACTGCGTTCGCGTATCCACGCCGGTGTGTTACTTGTGTTGCCATCGATTTGTCTCTCTCCTTCGTTCGTTTCTCTTCCAATTATTCGCATTTGTCGGTCTTTTCTACTTTTAGATTTATTATTTGCCTTCTGGTTTCTGTTTTGCAAGAAAACCTGGAGAACTGTCGTGTAATCTTTAGAATAACAGAGTAATATTCGTATGATAGCAAAACTGTAAGTATATTATGCAGAGATATATTTATTTTATATTTATGGAACAGAATGAAAATTGTTTTGAGAATGCTTTCGGTTTTATGGCTCAGAATCTTTCAAAATATTATTTTTAGGTCAATTATCCGATATACCAATTTAACATATTCTTAGTTTTCTACTTATTTCACGCAATCTTAGGAATTAATAAAATTCTGACGTTCAACCAAGTCTGGTTATGTTGTATTATTTTTTTTTTACATTTATGCTAAAATTGATTAGGTTAATTCCCAAGCAACGAATTATTTAAGAATAATTTTATATTTTACTTAATTTGTTAAAATCATTGAAAAAAGAAAAAGAAATACGTACATTTTTATTGAACCTTTTTATTTTACCTTTTTATTTTTATTTTACATAATGATCCGCAATCGCTAATAACGATATTAAAAACGATGTTAAAAGAACCTGCATGAAATATACTTAGAGCTCGCGCGGACGAAGCTTATACATGTAAAACGAACTTCTAATTTAATAGAACCTCTTACAATTCTGATATAACTTGATCGCATAATTCTCGTTTCCATGTACAAGATTATGAATTCCCCCAGTAAATAAGCACAGTTTATGCAATATCACATTTAATCCACGCGATAGAGCGAGTCGTAACCGCGCTACTTTCGGAACTTAGAATCCCTGTAACAGCCGTGTGGAAGGAATGCAGCCGCAATGAAACTTCCAGGTGGTTTAAACATTTCCTGTCGTAAAACCAGTTATCGGCGTAGATATCGAAATCTCGTTCAATTCGGGATCGTCTCGACCGAGTTTGACGAGGTCAGTTTTTGCCGACCGATGTAGAGGTGTCGCTGGAGAGGTCCTTATCGTTCCCTTCTAGCCAGGTTATGACCCGGACGGCAGAAATCATTGGCGCAACGTGTTAGGTTCACTAAAATACGAATGAACGGTCGTGGGCGTCGCGTCTCGTCGATCGTAAATCCCACCTCTTCGCGTCGATTTATTGCCCTCGACCAAGGTTAGAGTGTCGATCGTTTCGTTACATGGACGTATCCTTCTTTTAGATCTTCCTGCGATTCCTTTTCCCGTCCTAGCAGAGCGAATAATATCAACATTCGGGACAATCGCACGGAAACACGACACGGAGAAAAAAATTACGCGAAACAATAGTGCGAAGGAGTAAGTAAGAATAATAAATATTATGAATCAAGTAGATTCGTACGGTGAAGAACTGACTTACGTATATACAGAGTGTCCCAAAAATGTCTCGCATACTGGAAATGAGAAGTTCCCGGGATCATTTGAAGTAACTTTTTCCTTAGCGAAAATGCAACCCGTGGCTTCGTTTACGAATTATTAACGAAAAACACTGACCAATGAGAGACAAGCTCGCCTAGCGCTTGCCGGCCGAGCCAATGAGCGCACGAAGCCCAGTTCCGCTCATTGGCTCGGCCGCCTCGCGCCAGCTGAGCTGGGATTCGACGACTCGACCGCTGGCGCTGTTTTGGCTCGGCCGCCTCGCGCCAACTGAGGTCGCTTCTCATTGGTCACTCTTTTTCGTTAATAACTCGTAAACAAAGCCGTGGATTGCATTTTCGCCAAGGACAAACTTACTTCAAATTACCTCAGGAACCTGCCATTCTCGGATTGCGAGACATTTTTGGGACACCCTGTATATGGACAGGGTGGCTCCTAATCTCGTTAACCATTAACTTTAGGACAAACGCGAGCCTATACTATTCGACTTAAAATTTAATATTCTTTCGATCTGTAACAAGCAAAATATGCTTCTTCGTTTAAAAAAAAGGAAGTTGACCACGAAATTTCGAGAACTACACTATTTAAAAATAAGGCGAATACATCATCACTCCTCCCTTTTAAAACTCTACAACTTTTGTATTTAACATTTTTCAATTAGATGCATAGTTCAAAAGTTACATGGGCTGTCTAAGTTATATGACTCACCCTGTATACGCTTTGAATCAGCACAATCGAAACAAAACAGGTTCACAGTTTCCAATTAACAATTTTTGGAAACTTGCCGTTTTGTTTAATCGATTTACTGTCTCAGTAAACGTCGGTGAAACGTGATGAAGAACAATTTGTGCATTCTGAAATTGCAACGAATACGCATGGATAGTGACGAAAAGTTTCGTCAATTTCGTCGACAAAAGAAATTGCCGAAAATCATCGTTGATTTAACGGCTCGCTCGAGTATTATTACTGCATACTCGAGGTTTGCCTTCTTAGCGTATTAACACGTTGACTGCCGCGTCACCCGTATTCGGGTGACAGCAAAAGTTCTCATCAGGCCACGTCACCCGTAATTCGGGTGACGCTGATTTGACTACTTACAAAGGATTGCCGAAAATATTTCGACAAATATTCTACAGGAGGTAATGAAACTATTGAATTCTTATAAAAATGGTTTATTACAAAAATTATTCGCAGTGTATAACATTAAAACATTCTCTGCAAAGTTGAGGTTGATCAGGACAGCTTGGACAAAAAGTTGTTTGTTTTTTCAGATATGCTCGTGCCTCTGATCGGTCCATTTCGTATCTTTTATTTGAACTGTAGCTTCCTCGGTATCATCAACATTTCTTTCTTCTTCCATGACCAATTCTCTCGTAAAATCTCGTCAATAGTATCTTCATAACATTCATTATCACTAAAATTATATTTATCAGTATCCAAATCAGAATCCGACGATGTAATTTTATTTATGCTTCTCCTTCCGGGCAATCCGATCTCTTTTCATTATTGAAAAAAAAGGGCAGAGATTTTA